CGCATTCCTTCTATTAATAGAAACAAGGATAATTATTATGATATATGCTGTGGTATTAACTGTAGATTATACACCATAATAATACATGTGTGTGTTTATATTTCCAATACAATATCTTACCTCCTTCACGGGTAGCTTTTCTCGACTTATACTGCCCTCTATAGGTGCAAATGTTTTCTCGTTATTAGCTTTGATATATCCACCTACCCTCATGTGTATTCGTGTGACACATCTGCATGCAGTAACCCTTCACCAATAGGAGTGCAACACAACTCCTATTGTCACTAGCACCCTCTTTTTTTGTGCAGCCCTTAATCTCTTATCAATTGGCAGTCTGTCAGTATGTGGTTTCACTTGTGTTTTCATCAAAATTTTTATCTAATTGATCAAGTTTTCTGTTTATTATTTGGCCACATATTTTTTTTTCAACCGTAATTTTTACGATTTTGCTAGTTCTCTTTAGAGAACGTTTTTGCACAGTCAACTCTGCTGGTTATACACTTGCACTTCCACATGGCATCTACCAATGCTGCTGTAACTATTACAGCCGATTTGCTGGCCACTTCAGTGGGATCTGAGCAAGTTTTGTCTGCTCAGAAAATAATGACTGGTTCATAGGGAGTTGGCTACTTTTATGTAGTCTACTAAGTCATCTGATGATTGTCATTACATACCATGCAAGGATTTGTCGGAACATGACAATGAGGATTTGGACAGCCTGTTTCCTTCATCCTGCCCATGCCTCACAGTCACGTGTATTTTCAGTGGAGGTGCCTAGGCCTCCTTCCCTATTTTTAAACTTAATCAGGTATTATATGTCTTGTCCTTATCTCCCGTTTTCTGTGTTTCTACTCCTGCTCTTCTCAGTAACAAACTGTTTGGTCAGCATTTAGTGTTTCCTCCCTCTCCAGATATTGGGGTTCATGCGACTCGTTTTGGATCAGTTGCATTCAGTTGTCAGTATGCCTCGACTCCCATGTAATCTGGATGACCATGCACTGGCATATCATCATTCTGACTTTTCCTATTTAGATTCACAGCATTTGGAGTCACCTGCCTCTTTGTGGGGATCAGACCCTAATACTTTGGTTCCTTTTTCCCAGCCTCTGTCAAACTCTTACCCACATCACTTCCTTTCTAACCTGGCTCTTTGACAGGAGCCTTTCAGTCTCCTCTGTCATGGGCTATTGTGCAACTTTGTTAGCCACGTTTTGTTTTACACGTTATGCTCATGTCTTCAGTTTGCCTGTCCCTTTTGTTTTGTTCCCTCCGCATCACCTGTCCTTCTCATCCTGCCTCTCCCTCAGATTGTAACCTCAATATTGTCTTTCCTGCCCTTACCCTTCCTCTTTTTGAACCCTTGTCATCTTGTTCTTTATATAACCTGTCCTTGAAGACCCTTTTCCTGCTGTTGGCATGCAGATGTCATTGTTCGGATGTGTTTGCCTTTGATATCCACTGCATCTTATTTTACAGTTCCTGTATGGTCCTTTTCCTCGACTGTTTTATTCTGTCCAAAACTTCAACCACTTAGGAGAGTATTTCTGCCTTCACACCTGTCTCCCTTCTTTCCATATCTGTTCCGATCCTGATAACCTCTTATGTCCAGTCAAGGCTCTCCACTATTACGTGATGCTCACTGATTCCTTTTGTTGTTTCCACTCCCCATTATTTATTCCTTAGAATCCTTCCCACTCTCATGACCTTTCTCCCATTACTTTTATGGGTTGGATTTGCCAGTTGATTCTCTGGTTTATTCTTCCCCTTCTCCTGATGATTGTCATCTTTCCGTTTACCTTCCCATCAAATTCATCATGTCCCTGGCTGTTCATTTCTGTCATCCAACAGACAACATCATTAGCACCGGTATGTGGACCACTCTCCATACCTTTACTGCTCATTATCTTCACCACCTAGCCATTTCGTCTTCTTCTATGGGGTTTTATCTTCCTCCTGTCATCATTGTTGAGTGTGTAAGTGCTCCTTTTTTCTTCATTTTCTTTGCAGGGTTTTTTTTTACAACCTAGGATCCTGCTTTGTGGCGAGGTACACTTGTTTTTAAATCCACACTGTAAGACCTGTGTGTCAAATATGCCAACCGTTGAGATTAGGTGTTCCATAAGACAGCTTGTGGATATTCCTCATGGTATTTTGCTTCATAACAATGTTTGCACTGGACCGAACACTTTACATGAGTAAAGCAGATGAGGATTGTTATCCATCCCTGATGATCCGTGTATTGTAGGTCATTGAATCAGTCTGTTTTTAAAAATAAGATGTCACAGTCACCCACTGCAGCGCTTTTCTGGACTCTCCAATGCTCTGTTTATTCCTTCTTCTATTGGAGTATGGGAGTTCTTGCCACTTACCAGTTCCTAGCTGCTGGAGTGGTGGACCATGGAGGCTTCCTTCTGAGTGTGCTCACTGCCACTCAGTTGAAAGTAGGATGGTGGTGTTCTGCTGGTGTAGATGGCATTGATGCTCATCCTACCGTGAAGCTGTTGTACAATTCCAGGTGCAGTTCGTCTCTCTGGCTGAGGCACTATCCCCCCGGATGTAGGTTCCCAGCAGATATGGTGATGGTTGGAGCTGGACTAGACTAGTGTTTGAATAGGTACCAAAATCCAGGTGCCCAAAAATGTCCGACCACTATCAACACAACAGTTTCTAACATGCAGAAGACAAGACAATATGAACTATGATGCCACATAGTTTAAGTTTACTTCGTGTGCAATGTTGTTTTTATTTTTCTAGCAAAAGCATATCTAAAACTGCCGTTAATAAAAAGTTATGAATGTTTGGATGGAAAAGTAAATGATATAATTATAAATGAAAGATGAAAACGATGTTAACCTGGAAACGTTTTGCAGCCATCATGTATACTAGAGCATAGACCTACAAACTTTAGGCCACTGTATGTATTCTCATTATTCTACTGAAACAAATTCAAACAAACATCTCTCCATTTTTTAACTTTTCACCAATTAGTAATGAGCACTGATTTAGTGGTCATGAAATTAATATCAAAGTATAAAGCTTCCAACTATTTCTTTGATCAGATACTATTAAATTATTGATATTGGTGACTGGTAAAGAAACAAAGTAATCTTTAACGGTTCACCCTGGCTGACTGTCATGACACAATACCCTCGCAGTACAGGCAATATTTGTACATGATGACAACACTTAGGTTGTACATACGTATGTTTATGTACGGACATTATGGCATCTACAGCCACCTGTCATTATAACACACATTGAGAGATTACAAGACTACTGAGTGCACCTGCACTATCGGAAAAGTTAGCACAATCGATGGGCGGAGCTTACCTCAGATATTTCAACGACAAAACTTTGATAATTCCCCATTAAGATTAGTGTGCGAGTTTCTCACTTAAATTGTAGTGAAATGAAACAACTCTGTGGCAACGATCGCCACATCCTAATACCTTGAATTATGATGAGCAACAGCTAGCTGCAGTTGAAACAAGTTATACAAAAACATAGAAACTTTTGGAAGATCGTATTTATATTGATACAAT